TCACACAAATGCATGCAGTTCACACACAACACACACACACACACACACACACACACCACACACACACACACACACACACACACACACACACACACACACACACACACACACACAACACACACATACACACCACACACTATATATATATATATATATATATATATATATTATATATATATATATATATATATATACACCTATGTGTGAGTGTATGCATATATATATGTATTATATATATATATATATATAATATATATATATATATATATATATGCATATGTGTCTGTGTAAAGAATACCTATTCATAATTACAAGCACATTTTCCTTCGTATGTGTTTATGCCATCAATATATTACCTCAACTGAAATCCAATCAACGCCCATTAGATCAAACTACTCGTCTGCGCCGATAACGGTCACTATCTTTAGAAAATGATCTGATAAGAGTGTTTGTCAAGCCAGCCTCTTCTTGGGTTCGTCCCTTGAGGAGACTTGGCGAACCTTAACCTATATATCGGAGGAGGCTTTAACATAGAGGCTTTGGCCCCGCGCTCTCTGCTCTTTGCTTGCGGAGGCGCCGGTAGGGCAGGGAGGCGCATTGCCTTGGCGAATGGGTAGGAGAGTGAGGGAGAAAGAGAGAGAGAGAGAGAGAGAGAGAGAGAGAGAGAGAGAGAGAGAGAGAGAGAGAGAGAGAGAGAGAGAGAGAGAGAGAGAGAGAGAGAGAGAGGAGGAGAAAAAGAGAGAGAGAAACAGAGATACAGACAGACAGACAGAGAGGCTGAGTAGCGACTGACTATAAAAAGACTAACATGTCTCCACCGAAAACCAAAATCGAATATTCAAATGAACTTCCTATTGGACCTGAAAAAAGGAGGCAAATAACCTTCACGACACCCCCCCCCTTTGCCCCCCAAACCCATAATTTTGGGACCTGTGACCTGACGCGACCTGGAACACGCTGCCCGTCTGTGCGTTTGGAGGCGTCGGTTTTTGTTTTTGTTCTGCTTTGAATGGAAAAATGGACTGACGGTGAGATGGGGATATGTGTGAATGGATGTATTTGGAAAGCTAGATAAAGGCGCGCGCGCATACACACACATATATATGAATATAGACACATATGTCTGTAACTGTCATGTATATGTATATATATTGCACACACACACACACACACACACACACACACACACATATATATATATATATATATAATATATATATATATATATATATAATATATATATAAATATGTTGTATATAATATATGTATATATATAAATGTATATAGATTTTACACACTAAAAACACACGCACACGCACACGCACACGCACACGCACACGCACACACACACACACACACACACACACACACACACACACACACACACACACACACACACACACACACACACACACACGCCACACACCACATATATATATATGTATATATATATACATATATATAATATGTGTATATACACACACACACACATTTGTATGCGTGTGTGTGTGTGTGTTTGTGTGTATGTATGTATATAAATACACAAATGAATATGTATATATATGTATACATATACATGTATATATATATATATATACATATAATATATATATATATATATATATATATATATATATGTTTATTTATATATGAATATATATGCATATAAAGATAGATAGATAGATATGTGTGTACGTACATACATATCAAAATGGACGGATGGGTGTGTACCCATGCACAGGGTCTATATAAGTATGTAGACCTTGGCCATGCATACATACATAATCAAACCGTGTGTTCGTGTCTCAAACTACAATCGCAAATTAAAAAAGCGCACTTTAATGTAATGAGGTCAGCTCGTTCGTAGAAGCCAATAGATGTCCTGTACACACAACCCACATACAGGAATTTAGTAATGAGTAACAATAGCCAGCGGAGGACGAATCAATATATTGAATAAACGTGGCTTGTTCTAGTAGAATCCAGGATGACGCCGTGTCTACTATATTAGGAAAAGTGTGGAAAATTTCGACATGTGTTTGGTTAATTTTAGCAAGAAAGAAGATTACGTGTTATAAATTTGGTTGTTATATCATCTAAAACTTTTGAATTTATATTTCTTCTGTTGTCATTACGATTACTTATTAGTAGGTGTTTTCGGGAAATATAAAAAGATTTCTTACTGTTTTAAATTGTATTTTGTTAAGGTAAAGTTCCAACCGAAGTCCCATTTGATTATGAAAAGAAACTACATACGGTAAAGTATTTTCATTGTTGGCGTAAAGAAGAAATATATATACACAACAAAATACAATACAAGCGATTTATCTCCCCTCAAACGAAAATAAAGGAAAGAGCGAGACTAAAGGTAAATCAATACAAAAAAAAGAGAAGAAGAGAACTTTAAAGAACGCCCTGGAACGATGACGTCACCATACCGGTAAGCCGAAGCCGAAGCCGATCGAGCCCTTTTTTTCACGTGGGTTTCGGACACATTCACGCGTTGTTGTTCAGCCGGGACGGAAAATGAGAGAGACTTAATTCCATCGGAAAAACCCGCCGTATTTCGTCGAGAGTGAGTATTCCCGGCACCTCCTTCTGCACGCAGGGAATGGCGTGGGTAGTGCACCGGCCGGAGGTCATTTTGGAGGATTTAAAGTAAGGAAAAAGCGAGAAAGAAGGATTTTATAAGCGGGAGGTCCGTGGCTAGGCGGTGTCATCATCACCAGCTGGCTTGGACTCGCCGCCGCTGGACCCTCAATCTCCTCCATATTTCACCATTTACCGGAGACAGGCCCTCAGTAACCCTCTCTGCCTGCGCCAGATGCCCTGATTTATTGGTGGAAGTGAGCGGAATTCCCGAGATTTTAGATAGTTTTTTAGGATTAAAGGGATAGGAAATATTTTTTGTACTCCAGACGTCAGTGTAAGATTTGGTGTTGGATTTTTTGTCTTAATCATTATCATTTTTCGTTTGGGATAGCCTTGGAATGTCTTCGAGAGGGATCTTAAAGGTGATGTGTTCAAAGCCTTGACCTATTTTTTCCTCTGTGAAATGGGTACACTTTTATGGAATAACATTTGGCTGATGTTTTGTGTGTTGTGTTGTAGGGTTAGAGGTTCATTTGCACCCTGGTAGATTATTCCATTTTCTCATTGTTCTGGTTCTTTATGCATGAAGTTTGGTCATTCATATGGAAATCAATATGTAACCATAACTAGTTTTTCGGTGCTTGTCACCGAGTTTGTCGCTGTGAGGTAGCTTTTTTTCCATGATGTATATATTGTATTGAATTTTGATGTGTGCCTTAGGGATGATCTATTTATAATGAAACATTTTGAATTCTATAATAGATGGGTGTAATTTTAACTCCAGAATCGAAGTCATCTAGTCCTCTCTATGTAATATTATGAA